GAAGAAGCTTGATAAGTTGAATTTTGTACATTCTAATGGAATATGAAAGGAATGGGGGATAGTTAGTCCCCAGTGTACGTGGCAAGGTAGGTTAGCTTTGAAGTTTAGAATTGGTGGAACTAAAGAATGTACCTAATCAGAACATTTCCCATAGAAATAGCAATAGAGTAGCAAGAAGCTTACAATATTTTACTGTGGGAAAGAAGTTGTGGGGTGAAAAATAATTTGTCAGGTGTTGGAACTCTTATCAAAACTGGAAAATGAGGATTGAACAGTTCCAGTCCAGATATAGCAGCAATACTCCATTTTTGGTCTGAACTGGCTCTTGTAAAAGTATAGTATAGCTGGAAGAGTCAGGTACATACTGGAGTGGTACAAGGTAACAGCTATATTTCCACCATCTTTAGCAATATATATGAGTTGAGATTTAGGTCTGAACTTCAGTCCCAATAGGCATTCAAAGTAACACCTGTTCATCATAAGTGAAAATTCAAGGTCTGCTCAGTGATGATGGGACGTTACTAATTTGGTTTCTAAGGTATAGAATATTGCAAGCCATTTATTCTGCATTTATTCAGCTGTACTGAATATTTAACCTCTTGATGAATTATCCTAAGTGGAGGCATTTTTATATCTTATTATTTTTAGGATATCACGAGTTATCTCATTTTAATCTAGGTAGTATGTTTTCAAGAAAAATTGAGTAAAAGAAAAAATTATAATCATCAAACTATATAATAATTATCAATGTGTATTTATTTATATAATTCTTGTCCCATCTGTAGTGGGAAGGGATGTAAATCAACTTAATTTAGTAAAATTTACAAAATTACTTCCCTTAGGTATTTTAATACTCTATACTAATAAAATATTTATATACATTTAGACAAAATTTAGTTTCTGAACAAAATGAACCATTTAACTAATCACTTTCTTTACTCCAACATTTCTTAGATTGCAATCTTATTTGTTCAAGACTCACATGAAGTAAGGCATTCAGATGCCTTTGTCTATCTTGCATCAACTTGGTCTTGAAATAGGCTTTGTTGTTGCTGTCATTCTCTTACTAATTTTATTCTTCCATTTTACTACTAATATAACAGTAAAATGGAAGAAAAAATTACTGTTAATACAACAGTAAAATGGAAGAAAAAAACTACTGTTAACATAACAGTAAAATGGAAGAAAAAACTACTGTTAACATAACAGTAAAATGGAAGAAAAAACTACTGTTAACATAACAGTAAAATAGAAGAAAAAACTACTGTTAACATAACAGTAAAATGGAAGAAAAAACTACTGTTAACATAACAGTAAAATGGAAGAAAAAACTACTGTTAACAGTAAAATGGAAGAAAAAATTACTGTCAATATAACAGTAAAATGGAAGAAAAAAATTACTGTTAACATAGCAGTAAAATGGAAGAAGAAAATTAGTAAGAGAATGACAAAGCAACAACAAAGCCTATTTCAAGACCAAAACACATAAAATTTGGAACATAAAAAGATATTGAGCAAAAAGTGATTTATATAATACCAGGAGTAATCTATGAATCATAGATACCACTGAACATCAAAATTATATAAAGTGAATAGATTAATCAAATGGCCTCTATTTTAGTTGATTTTTTTTATCTCTGCTTTATTGAATCTCAGTACACCATTTCAAGACTTTTGTTTCATTGCATCTCACTATTAAAACTTTCTAACATTTGCTGTCATTTGTGATGGCACAGGCATGCTAGTATAACATATTCTTATAAAACAAAAAAGTTAAGTGGAATAATGTATCTGGTAAGAGGAATTGGAGATAACGCAATTCCTAAAAATTCAACTGGTAAGGGAGATAATTCCCAAAATTGATCTGTTAAAGAGTTAACAGAGGTAAAACCTTGGCAAAAAAAAAAAAGAAGCAAAATGAGGGGTTAGTGTAAAAAAGGTGTGGCGGAGGCTAATTAAGCGAATCATTGATTAATGGTTAATTGAAAAGCTTTAGTTAGGCAAGGTGATGATGTAGCTGAAAAATAAATCAGCAGATGTTTTAAAAGTGAGGCAGAAACATTCAAAACCAAATCAGATGTGCATTAATAATTTCAAAAGAAAACTTTTCTACAGTTCTCAAGCTACTGCATTCGAGATATCAGAGAAATAACTAAAACATGCTTATATTTAAATTTCTCATGCATACACAAATTATATTTACTAGACATGATAAAGTTGAGCATCATCTCTCTCTACAAATGCACATTATCAGATTTTATCATATTATTCAATCTTTTCACAGTAAAATAAGTATTAATCAACCAAAGTTTATAAATATTCTAGTATGTGTGTGTGTGTGTGTGTGTGTGTATATATATATATATATATATATATATATAGTGTATATTTAGGCAGCATATATTTTCATTCAAACAGATTTGGTAAAATAATTTCGACATATCATGTCGATTAGGTTTTATTGTGAACCTTTCAAGTTCATGGATTAATTTCTTGGTAGCCTTAGAAAATTGATTAAGAAAAATACCAAAATTTTCTTTCAAATAGTTTTTATTTTCCCCAAATACTTTCAATCTCATCTGAGACCATCTTCAGGGGATTAAGTTGTCTGTAAGTTTGTATTTGTGTTTCTGTAAATTCAAAACATTTCAACTGTTCATTTTTTCTGCTTATGCAGTATTCTAGATTTTTTTTCTTCTCCCCAGTATAAGGGAAGTAACTTTTTCTATTTTTGCTCTCATATATATATATATATATATATATATATATATATATATATATATATATATATAAAAAAAGCATTTAAGGACTTTGTTGCTATACTCATAGTTGACTTTTATTTATTTGGTTTTTTTTATTATATGAAGGGCTTCAAGGATTTATTGTTTTTATGTAATATAGATGTATTTTCAACTAATATCCACCTAATCTGTGAGTGTGAGCATGAGTGTTCCTTTAAATGCTGAGATATTGAACTATGCTCAGCCAAATGAAATGTAAGCCTTTTTATTAGCATTGTCGTAGTATTTCTCTTTATCAATTTTCTAAAGTTACCAAGGAATTAATCCATGAACTTGAAAGGATCGCAACAAAAACTAATCGACATGATATGTCTAAATTATTTAATCAAACCTGTTTGAATATATATATATATATATATATATATATATATACACACACAAACGATAAATATAACCTGTGAATTTCAATAAACATTTTACTAGTAGTATTACAATAAATTATTTGGTGGTGTGAGATTTTATTATGCAACACAAAGTTTCTTACATCATATATAGAATAGCATGGCATTGCTATTTAATTTCAGGTCTATAAATATTTACATTGGTCACAATCAAGATATAACCTAAAAAGAGCAACATGGTTTTGTAAAGTTATTGAGTGATGAGAATACAACATTAAGTAAAAAGGCTTTAAGAATGTCACAAAAAAGATCTGAGAAAATGTGTAATAAGAAAATGGATTGACCAGCAAGCAAATATTTGAAGCAACGAGTGTTTCAAATGTAGACAAAGAGAATAGATGCAGACTATCAAGACATAAAAACAAACTACTACCTTTAAGTAAACACCACAAAGAGAAATGTTTATGTTGGACAAAGAAGTAATGAAAACTTATTTTGCAACAATAATTTTTAATGATGAATATAGAGCTACATTGGATGGACCTGATGACTGAGTTAAAGGTTGAGTCCTTCAAATGGAAATAGTAAACCAACTCAACTGATAACATAAGGAAGGTGGAGCAATGTTTTATGATAGTATTGCATGGAGTAAAATTATAGGTTCCTTCAAAGTTTAGGGTCAAGATAATTGCAGAAAATTGTTTTAAGTTCATGGACAAAACATTTTTTGAATAGTACTGGTCACAACCAAGAAGCTTTAACCCCAAAAAGTATATTCATGCAACACAATGCTCCCATAATTTCTACAAAGCTGACTTTGCCAAAAAGACAAAAAAAAAGTTTCAAAGATACCAAATTAATAGAATACCACCCCTGACCAGCCTCTCCAGAAACAGAACATTTGTGGGTGTTCTTTAAAGAAATGTATATGAGAATGGAAAACAATAGTCAAACAAAAACAATCTCTGGGAAGCAATAAAAACTTCTGCAAGTAATTTTAAAATAAAATAAGAATAAATAAGTTAAAATGATTGTGGGAAAGACTGATGAACTGAAGGTTATAGGATGTTAAAGAGCCTATATAAAAATGTCATATAATAATTTATTCCCATATATGGAACATCGTGTCAATTAAATATATTTGTCTATGACCTATATGTTTTGGATTTGGTTATAAATAAACCCTTATGTTGTACTTAATGTGTTTTCATAATAAATACTGACATCCCACATACAAGTTAGTCTCAATATTTCTTTCATTATATATAAATATAAATATATATATATATATATATATATATATATATATATATATATTTGCTAACATCAATATAAGCATATACTGTAAATGATGCCAACGTTGGTTGGTTAATACCAATTTCATTATGAAATAAAATGATTTGCATAATCAACTCTAACATAGCGCACACACACACACATACAGTTAGAAGCACATGCATATGCAAAAGACTGAAAATGTTTGATGGCATTTGAAAAAAAAAAAAAAAAAAAGAAAGAATTATCTATCAATGTATATGTAAATACAAACAAATACATGTGTACACCTGTAGATGAAATGGAAATGAAAGATGCACACTGGGAAAAGTTCTGAACAAGTAACAACATTGGAAAGTTTAAAAAGTCATGTCAAAAGTTGTTTGGAAAATTCATTTCTGTCAAAAATGAGGTCCCTGACAGCCACCCCAACTCCAACTGTACATCCCACTCAGCCAAAATTTCACTATAATTCTAAGGAATTGTATCGAACAGCTTTATGCAGTCTCACCTGCAAGGAATTCACACCTTCTTCCAGACACACCCACTAAAATGATTGGGAAGATTTAGAAATTCAACTTACCTGCCAATTGAAATGGGGACCAAGCGTCTACAAGAAACATATTGATTTATCAGTAGAATGTCAAAAACAAATAAATAAGTGGGAGATAAAGCAGGGTAAAAAGTGAGAGAAATAAGAAAAGGAAAAAAAAAAGGAATTCAGAGGAAGTGAGATAGATGGGAAGATGAGTTAAGGCAAGAAAAATGTGTGGAGAAATAGAGGCTAAAGAAAGAGAGATGGGATATGGATGGGGGACCTAAAACAAGGGGTGGATGGACAAAAGGGGATTTAAAACAAGAGAAGTGGTTGAAGAGAAGGGGACCTAAAATAAGAGAGGTGGATGGAGAGGAGAGGGCTAAAGCAAAAGAGGGGGTGGAAAGAAAGAGGTGCTAAAGAAAGGGAGGTGGACAGAACGAAGAGAAGACAAAGCAAGAGAGGTGGGTGAATAGTGGTGGGGCTAAAGTAAGAGAGGATGGGGTAGGGAGGAGACTAAAGAAAGTGGAGGGGAAGGAGGGCTAAAATAAGAGAGGTGGGTGCAGGGAAGGGGAGCTAAAGCAGGAGTAGATGGATGGAAAGGTGAGCTAAAGCAAGAGAAATAGGCAGAGGAAAAGGGAGTTTAAGCAAGAGAGATAAGTAGCAAGGAGCTGGTAGATATAGAAAAAGATTTGAAATTCAAAAGAAAAAAAGTAAGTAAAAAGAGAGAAAAAAGTATAGAGATATAGAACAAGAAAAAGTGAATTTGAGAGAGAGAGAAAAAATAAAATAAAGATGGAGTAAAATAAATAAAATGTTTTCATTTTTGTAGGACAACTAATTAAAATAGAAGAAACAAAATTGTCTAAAAATTTAGCAAAATAAAGAGAAAGAGAGAGAGACAAAGAAAGTCTATAAAAATTAAACTGAAAAACAAAATGATGTGAACAAAAAAGAATTTTAAGAATTTCAACCTTCAACAAAACAAACCTCCAGAAAAAAAAAAAAAAAAAAAAAAAGAAAAAAAAGGTAAAGAGGGTTGGTTTTTATTCTTGATGAAGGAGTTGAAATTGTAAATTTTATAAGGATTCTTACAGAAAAGCAAAATGTTGAATTACTCAACATTTCAACAATATTTCTCTACCCCTGCAGGTGATTTGCATCAAACTCTACTTGCTTCTATCTCTTTTCAAATATTCTATATGATCATTTTGTTTACTGTTTGTCAAACAAGGAGTATTAATTACATTGCCATTTGTTTGTTATTACTCATATTTCTTTTCTGAGAATTCTCTGAGAATCCTTTGAAGAACAACATACTCGAGTATAGCAGCTTAGGTTTTGAAACTATGCCATAAAAATGAGCAGTAAAATTACAGTACTGACGATGATTGCAATCAATTAAAATCTATAAAATTAAATCAATAACACTGCTATTTGCTTTTGTACAAAGAAAGTCTTGATTAATTGGTACAAGTCAAGCTTAATACTATCCTTGATTTTCAACATTAAACCAATTCTCAATTGCATGAAAAAAGTTATTTGGGCATCATTTGCATTCTTCATTTTATTTAGTCTATCACATTTTTCTCCCAATTATACTGCTACTATTAGAACCTACTTGGTTACAGATGTCATGGGTCAGGCAAACTCAAAATAATACAACTAAATAGAAATTTGAATTTTGAGATTAAGTATTTTTTATTTACTAATTTTGGACTGGTTTTTCTTTGATTTATTGTTATACTTTATTTCAACATTCTACACTGATTACTCTGGTTATTAATATTAAGTACCAGGAAGCCAAAAGAAAGCCATAAAAGCTGACAGGACACAGGTTTACTTCTTCATTTTGACTTCACAATACTTTAATAATCAGGAAGTATTCAACACAGAATGCCATCATAAAACAGCAATAACATCATGTAAAAATTAATCAAATAAATATAGGGAAATATTTTATGATAATTTGGACACATTAATTTCAGTACAAAGAGGAGGAAGGCTGCTTGTTTGCTTTAGAAAGCACATTTAGTGTTGTACTAAAATCATTAATATAAATGACTATCAATTTTTACACACACACACACACACAAACATATATAGGCACTAAATGATATAGTTAGTCCCCAAGATACGACTTGGCTCACTGCATGGGCAATTAGTCTGTGCAAAATAGAAAAGTTAAATGACAACAAGGATTTTATAATTCAGTCAAAGATTTCACTGAGCCTTAATTCTATTCATATATCAAGGTTTTGTAATTCTTGTTTTCTTAGTTACATATTTATATAGCTTAGTCATCTGTGTAAATGTATATTCCTTATAAACTGTATAACATTATTGCATTAAAGTGTTTTGAAATTTTCCGATCAAAAAAGAATGTAACAAAGACTATTTACTATATCTATATAACATCCATAGACGATGATTTGCAAACAATGCAAATATTTTTAATAATTGCCTGTTTATTCACAAGTCAACTGATCCAGCAAAATTCGTTCAAAGTTCTTTTCATCTCTGCATCATAAAAAGTCTTGATTACTGTACGTGAAGAAATATGAAGAAAGAGATCAATACTTTTTTTTGTATCCAAGAAGCTGATATTAAGGATAAAAAATAAAACTATAAGAAACATCAACTTTTGGCTTTATTATTATGAGAACCATTTAGATTATTTAATCTACCAGAAGCTGAATTGATAATATTGCACTGTGTCACCTTTTATGTATATTGCAATATTATTGAATGTGTGTGTAATGTCAATAAATGGTTCTGTATATAGGAAATATATGTAGCATTTCTTCAAAAAATATTCTTATACACACAAAATTTTCTGAGATTTGTGATTAATTTGGAACATGTAAATATTTTATACAAATGCAATGTGACAGGTATGTTGTAAATCTGTTGAAATGAATATGTAAACAGATGATTTGCATAAGTCATATTTGAAGATGGACATAAGACTAAAAAACGAATATTTAAGAGAAACAAAAATGACAAAATTAAGACTACTTTAAATAAGATTTTATTTAAAAGAAAATTTCAAAAGAGAAATACATGAAAAGAAATAATCAAAGAGTATGTTACCTTTAGACAAACTGTAATGTAAAATATATTAGAAAGATGTTAGGGAGGAGAAAGGAAAGAAATAAAGAAAAGGAAGGATATTAGGGAGGGGAAAGAAAAAAGATGAAAAAGAAAAAAGGAAGGATATTAGGGAGGGGAAAGAAAAAGAAATGAAAAAGAAAAAGAAAAAAAAATGATATTAAGGAGGGAAAAAGAAAGAAAAAGAAATGATATTAAGGGGAAAGAAAAAGAAAAAAGAAATGATATTAAGGAGGGGAAAGAAAAAGAAAAAAGAAATGATATTAAGGAGGGGAAAGAAAAAGAAAAAAGAAATGATATTAAGGAGGGGAAAGAAAAAGAAAAAAGAAATGATATTAAGGAGGGGAAAGAAAAAGAAAAAAGAAATGATATTAAGGGAAAAAAAAGAAAAAGAAATGATATTAAGGAGGGAAAAAAAAAAAGAAAATATTAAGGAAAAAAAAAAAAAGAAATGATATTAAGGAGGGGAAAGAAAAGAAAAAAGAAAAAGAAATGAAATGATATTAGGAGGGAAGAAAAGAAAAAGAAAAAGATATTAAGGAGGGAAAAGAAAAGAAAAAGAAATGATATTAAGGAGGGGAAAGAAAAAGAAAAAAGAAATGATATTAAGGAGGGGAAAGAAAAAGAAAAAAGAAATGATAAAGTAATGATATTAAGGAAGAGAAAGAAAAAAATGAAAGCAAAGGAGGAAAGAAAAAAGATATTAGAGCCATAAGAAAAAGAAAAGAAAAAGAAAAAAAAAAGAAAAGAAAAAGAAAAGAAAAAGAAAAGAAAAAGATAAAATAAAAGAATCAAAGAAGAAAAAAGAATAAAGATGAAACAAAAAGAGAAAAATAGAAAAAAGTAAGAATATCAGAGAGTGATAAGAAAAAGTAAAAAAGATCAAGAGAAAAGGATGTCAGTTTTTGACTAAATGTTACCTCGTTTCTTCCTACAAAAAACAAACCTTTTCTGATTTACATGCCTATTTTTAAAATAATAAATAAATTTTTTCTGTTGTTAGAAAGATTCACATATGAAAAGAGAGAGCAACACTCTATCCACTAAAAGAGATTCTATTTAAAAAGGAAGGTGCTACCTAATGTTAAATAATGCTCAATAGGATCAACAAAGCTCAAAGATTGTATAATGAACAAATAAACAAACTAGTAATAATGAGTTCTGGTTGTTGTTTATTAAGAAATCTAATAAAAACAAGACCTGGATGACTAAGTCGCCAGCTATGATCATAAAACAGTATTTCTGGCAGTGAACAACATCCCTAGCAACCTGTTCCTAGAAACTTGAAGACAAAAAGAAGACACAAAGCCATATTGGTTAAGTTTTCAAAGACAAAACCATCACAATTTTCATATTGAGAAATTCTCTACTAATTCTTTTTGGTAGGACATAGAACACAATTATCCAGTATTTAAGAAAGGAGTTTACAATTCCTGTTTTAATAAAAATAACAAAGATATTTTTTCTTGTAATGTCTGTATTATTGAGAGAACTGCTATACACTTTCACAAAACATCACATTCAAAAAGACTTTTTTTTTTGACAAAAAAAAAAGAAAAAAAAAAGAGCAACAACATTGAACCTGTGGTGGTGATAGCAATCATCATCATCATCATCATCATCAATGTATCTTTCTGATATTTTGACTATAATGCCTACCCCCCATCCCTGCATCCTTTTAATCAGTTGTTTTGAATCAACTAAGAACACAAAGTGTGAAACTTTTTGGCAAGGACACATGGCACCGTGGATAAAGACGTTAGTTAGATCCAGTGACAGGACCCAAAGAGTGTGAGTTCAATACCTGGTTAAGGCAGTGGAGAACTTAGAGAGGGGAATTAACAGGAGTTAACTTAACTGACATCCATTAGACATGGCACATGGAACTAGAACAGTCTACTCCAGTGAGCGAAATAAAGGGTTCAGTTCGACATTCCAACCACGTAAAGAAGGCCAGAACGTACAACAGCCAAAACG